CTTGAATAAGTGTTTCTAAACTATATTTAGTTCTGGTATTTTTAGTATATAGAGATGTCGACGTCAAAACAGTTATTGAAAAGCATATACTACCTCCAGTTCTTAATATAAGACTCTGTTTGACTTTTATTTTAGTTTTAAATATAAGACACTAATATACTTTGTCTCTCGTATTTATATATATTTTTTTCCAAAACAGTCTTTCTAACAATGATAGTTCCAGTCAGTACACTTGATTAGTAAGGATATTTTAGGAAAGACAACACCTATTTAGAACAAATAACTGACTCAACTTATTTTCTTAATCTTCTCAAATTAGTCAACTGGCTTTTATAATTAAAATCGGATCGAGGTAGTATATAGGAGTATATGTATATATATAGTGGGATCGTCATGAGAGTACACGCTCCGTATGAACAAAACAAGCATGTGAGTACAGTTCTCTAGCGGCAGCTGTTAACATGTTGTTTAGCTTGTCTCATTATTTTCGATTTACACACACACACACACACACAGCATGAAATCTTGCACTACTACATAATTAAATTGCATCAGCACTATTCTATTTTAGAACATTATCAATGCTTGCGCAATGTTCTGCAGCTTGCATTTCTTGGTTTCTACTTGAGTCCACTTATCTATATAGGAAATTAGGTTTAATTTATAATTTATTATTTGATTATATTATCATGTAAATATCCCATAATGGCTCTGTCCATTAAATTAAAAAAATTAAAATTATCCTTTTTTTGGTTTTTTGTTATTTCATTTCATTACCGCACATGATTAATTAGCTGTTTCAAAATGAATATTATTCTAGTTCAAATTGAGAAGAAGCTTTCACTGCAACTCACGAGACATTCAAAATCTCTTCAAAGAGAAAATACAGATGGTAACTTAAACAAAATTAATATACACACATAATAATTAATACTAACAAAAAAATTAAATAATATTATTATATTAGACAAGTGTGATGCATTGATTGACGAACTTGAAAATGTTGAGTAAATGGTGATTTAATTTGATAATTAAGCATCGTCCTTGATTGATGGCTAATTAGTTTGCACGTTTGTTTGGGCGATTGAGAGGAAGAGGTTCGTCACCACCACTTACTGTAAAGGAAGCAAAATCAAGCTATGATTTGTGTGCGTGCGCGTGTTTTTTTTTTTTTTTCCGATCCTAATTCAGTGATCATTCAACCTACAATTTTTTTTTAAATACCAAATTTATTTTTTTAAAAAAAGTGTGAATTATAAATTATTTTTATTTTAAATTTTGTGCATATTAACATAAAAAATTATTTAAAACATACAAAAATTAAATCAAATCTTAAAATTAATCTGTACGGATGGTCTTTATTGAAATAAACGTTTTCTTGCTATCCCTTATTATTATGATAAACACTCCATGTTTATCTTTTTCCCCAGTATAGAATGTGCTTCCATTTTCTGTTTTCTAGATCAGTAAAACAGACATGTTTTATAGCAGAGGTCTGAACCCAATTCAAATACATTATTTATAGGTTCAGATAAGCTTCATCTGTTTGTTGACAGGCGGAAAAAACTCCACTTTGTAAACACTGTCTCACATCCCAAAACAAAAAGGACACCAAAAAAAAAAAAAACAAGAAGACAACTTTATTTTTTGTAAGACGAGGATGAATTAATAATCAAATGAACTAATTAATGACGAACGATGCCAGGATCAGGACCTCCAGGACTGAGTCGATTTGATTCCTCTCTGAATGGTATAGGAGACCTTAACGGCGCGTATGGTTGTGTGGCGAGACGCGCCGTGAAGTTGATGCTTCTCGGTGCTCAACTGAGGGAGCCGCTCAGGAAATGGGTTGACGACGACAACGACTCATTAACGTTCTTCATTATCTGAACCTCGGCTTCTGACATGAACAGCCTGCCCAGAACCAGCCAAGTCATGCACACCATCAAACCCACTCTTTCTCGCCATCATTATTTCTCTCGATCGCTACCCACACTATCCCCAGATTCTGATCTCTCTCTCTCTCTCTCTCTCTCTATATATATATATATATATATCTTTAATTGGCTGATGCGATATGTGGTTTATACAGAGACCATTATAGCCTTCAAAACAACATTTTTTTAATCCCTCCCAGGCTTCCCACTAACACACTTGGAGATAACTCTTCATGCACTATCTTGTGTCTAATATTGTATCCTAATTATATGACCCACGGCGCACATTATATGTACATGATGCCTTCCTTTAAGAGCCTCATCGTTTGGGGGGAGGGAAAAAAAAATCATAGGGCGGCAGGGTCGGCCTCTTCTTTCTGAAGAAGATTAACATTTGATTAAGTGAGATTTGTGTTATTTTAAGTTTTGTATCTTATAAATTACTATTAAAAACCCACTAGCTTTTATTTGCCAGCACGATGCGTACTGCGCGCGCGCGCGCACACGTGTATGTATATGTCCAACTTTTAGTTAGAAATGACAAGACAGAATAAATCAGGAGAAGGAAACTTTTTTTTCTCGTCCTCGTAGGTTAGCACTTCGCCTTTTTTTATTTCGATGACAAAATCCCATCTAGTTGATATGGTTCTTATCTACTTTCTCCTTGAGGATATTTCTGTTTAGTAAGCATTTTGTTAGATGCATTATATAATACCACCGAGGCACCCACTCGTCTCCAGCTAGTCTTTTATGTATATTGCCAAGGATGTTCTATTTCTTTTCTAGAATTTTCAATGTCAATAACGTAAGTAGAAAACTATAGATAAGATTATCTCATTATTATATTGTTCTAATGAAATAAAAAAAGAGGTCATCTAGATGAGGTGGATGCTTTACCCCCAACCACCACCACATATATATTTAGGAGCTAACGCAAGCATGGTTGTGCTTATACACGATGAATGTAGAAATTACGTGTTGTGTAGGAAAAAGTGTTAGGATATGGTTGTGTAAGAGGCGAAAGATTTGGGGATTGCCCCGTCCCGGGGGGTGGGAATTCTTATATTATTGAAGGCCAGACGTCTTTCTTGCGTGGTCCTTTTAATTCTCATCAAGTTTTCCAAAGCCAGGGAGCAATAATGGAGCTATTAGGAGTGGAGTCATATTGTAAGCAGCGTATAGCTTAGGACTTACTTCTTTTGATCTTAATTATAAAATCTCGTTTATATAAATCATGGTAGCCCTACACATTTCTAAAGCAGAATAGCAAATAAGAAGTAAAGGTTGAAAATATGATTTCCATCTTATAGTTGAAGGAGGTTTTGAGTGATAAGCTCTTCATACGAGTATTCAAATAACCACTCGCATCTTTCTACTTCCCCAAGCCTCCTACCTAATAATAGCCCTCGTGAGAGCATTAATTGTTGTGTTAGAGTAGTAGTATGTTGTTACAACATAAAGCCCCCTACCTAATATAACCCGGTATAAAGTATTCCTTTTGTCATTTGTGGATTCCTCCTCAGAGGCGGTTCTCATCTTTCGTATGAAATTTAAAAAAAAAAAAAAAAAAAAATCCCAAAGGGCGGTGGATAGTGAATACTTTCACCGCCAATACACCATTACTATATTATATAGGTGCGTAATGCAAGTGTGAGTGTGTCATGGATGTCAAAGTGTTGAGTCAAGTGAAGTGAAATGAAGTGTGACGATGGTGTGTGAGAGGTGAGCCATGTGAGGATTAAAGAGGAAAAGTCAAACTAATTTTATGTAAAACATGGTTAAAAGGAGTAGTTAAAATATTCTCTTGATTGAACTCCTCGCCCCCTCACAGCTTTCTCCTGTCTTCTTCCAAGTCTTATTAAGTATTCAAAGATTCACAACTTCAATTCAACAGGATTGCATAACTCTGTACCCTACACATACAGTAGAAAAAAACCAAAAGCTATATAACATGCTGGAACTCTTCCCTACTTGCAAAAATGAGAGACTCAAGGCAAAGTGCATTAATGGATGAAGAACAGGAATATCCGATGCAGAATTATATGTTACATTTTAGACCTGAAGCCTTCCTAAGCTTTAGAGACGGAGTCTGGAAGTTTTGCTTGTCAAAGTTTTGCCCCTTGCTTGACTACAGCAAATCCATTGCAATGATCAGCATATGCTAATAATCGAGGAATTATGAGAACCTTGGATCTATCTTGAACTTATAGATTGATATCTTCTAATAATTATGGAAGATTGGATTAACATGTTCGACTTTTATATCCTACAATGAAAGGCCAAAAAGAAGGAAATGTTTTCGGTTACTTGTTTTTTCCCCCCATCGTTGCTATTAAGGCCTTTTTTAAATGCGTAAGCAGCTGTAAGGTCTGGATAGTACGTTTGCAACTGACAAGTTTTTTTTTTATTTATATATAATATATATATATAAAATTTTTGCAATCATTTTAATGCAGGAAATAAAACCCGCAATCAATTTTAGGGTCAAATCACATAAATTCCATAAAAAGGAGGTCATGTTACTGCGTTGAATACAATCAAATGAACCGTAACCTGATCAATAACCAATATATCTTCAAAAATTACTTGACGCATATGCACCACACCGCAGATTTCACAATAAAAACTAGAAGAGGCCAAAACACAACTATTAAATGACAGATTTTTAAACGATCTATGAAGTTGTGTCAACAGATTTGTGAGATCCAGTCTAGATATCACAAGGGGAAACAATACCTTGTCTCTAAATCAAATGATGACCAATAACCTGACGGTATTGATATCTGATAAAGCAGGAAAAATATACGGTATAAGTCGAGAAGCTATTGTCCACCTAAATGTACACTGACCTCTGCATGCAGCAGTTTGCCGCCCATCAAGTTTGAATCTCCTTATATCAAGTGGAGGGCAAGTTTCTGAACCTTCCGAATGTTCATAATTGTTAAGGAATTAACCAAAGTTTATTTTCTACAACAAATTAAAAATGAGGGAAGGGCGGAAAGCAGATGAGGATATTTTTTTCTTCATAAATGGGATGATTCAGCATCAACAGGTTATTGTTATTCACACAACTGCCCGAACTATTAATTCTTTCGCTTCCTCGTGCTTCTTTTTCAGCATGTTGCAAATCTGCAAGAAATCACACTTAAATTTTAAGCGATGGTAATAATTTACTCTCCCTTTTCTTTTTCTCTTTTCCACTTCTAAGATACTGCATGCCTGGATGAAAATAAATCCTTTCACTGCCGTTAGCTTGGGAAAATTGTAATATAAAAGAGATGCTATCAAATTTTTAAATAATTGCAAGTACATAAGTAAAGTAAACCTGAATTTGTAAAGAAAAACATAACAAGCCCCCACCCCCTCCTGACTCACATCTTCAAGTTCCTTTGTATAAGACTCAGCCTTTTCAACAGTGCTGTTATCCTCCAAGAACGCAGAAGTGGGAAATTTCACTTCCATCAGGTTAATCTCCAGTGGACGTTGAAGTTTGGATGTGGGAGAATTGCAGAGTGAGCTGTTGGGCCTACTCTCCACCTGAATTTCATGATAGTAAAAGTGGGTGATTTATTTGGAAAAAAAATGATGTCGACAACTTTAGGGATTGAAATCCTCATATCATTGTATGTGATCAGTCGTCATCAAATAATACAATGCATCGGATTCGATATTCCCAAACCTTAATATACCTTTCCAACAACCTTTTCTGGGCACCCCTTGGAATTTCTGCCGTTATTTGGAAATATATTACTGGTTCAGCAAAGAATCAAAAGGAAAACAAAAAATGATAAAATAATAAGTAGTTCAACAAAAAACCTGATTTCACTAGGAGAGTGACAGAGTCGCTTCAGGGACCTTAAGGGCGCTAAATCTGCTTCTGAAAGCTGCAAAATTTTGCTCACAGCTGAGCTGAAATTGGCTAAGCATGTGTGGTGATTTCTTTTCAATGAAAAGTTGTTGAAGCTTCAACTTCTATAATTGTGAAGTTCTTCAACATTAAAATTCTTTTTCAAAAGAGAAAGAAAAAGAGATACATTCCAACTACGACAAGATGCGGGAAGAACATAGTGGGGAGAGAATCATGATTCAAACTACATTGTTTTTAAAAGTATGCCCCTCGCCTAGACTGGAGTATTATAGATATGGCTATACGGTGCCAAGGGAAATCATCGTCATCGAGTGGTGTTAAACCACTTGAGCGGGCTGATTCCTTCCTTCCAAAAAAAGAAAAAGAAAAAGAAAACAGAAAAGGAAAGGGCAGGCATTAAATTCCAAACCTCATTAGTGTTTTTCCTCTTTAGGAAAGGGGTCGCAGGCTTTTGATTCGGAGAACTGTCAATATGATGGTCAATCTTTGCTGCTGTAATGCCCCGCATTTCCTTATGTTCAGAGTTTGCTGGGGAGTTAGTTTTTTTTTTGACGTGCAGGAGTTGCTAATTCCTGTCAGTTTCGACAAGCCTAAGATAAGATATGAGCTGTCACTCAAAGCCAATTACGTGTTAACTGACTAATGAAGAAGGGAGTATTACACATTAGCATCATACTTTGCAGCCTTAAAGCCGATCTTGACAGCTTTAATTGAAGAAAGTTTATTTTCTTCTATGGTTGCCCTTAAATTTTTAAGGGGTTCCTTCTCTGAATTTTGAGCTTGAAGATTCACAGGCATCTTGTTGGCATGTCTAGCTGTTGTCTCAGTTAGGCACGAAGATTAACATGAGAACTGCAAAAAAACACCCAACAAAATGCAAATTATGGGCCATCACTGTGATAATTCCCAGAAAGTTTTGTTGTAAACTTAACATCTGAAAGTAGTCAGAGATGTAATTACATGCATAATCATTTCAAAATTAAATTATACTGAAACAAGTATTAACATGCAGAAAGGAAAGAAAAGTTAAAACAATTTCAGAGTCCAATATTGAATAATTAGCATATAGTGAAGAGTCTAGAATAAATAGTCTGACATAAGTCCGTTGTGAACAAACATCCGTCGGAACATTAAGGTAAAATTTATTTAACATGAGAAAACCAGAAAGTGATCATTACCACATCCTTTTCAATGTTTCATAATACGATGTGATTTTCGTTGATCCAATCAATCGAAGTAATTATGTGCATGCCAATACACAAACATGCATATTCTACAAATTCCCCTCCCCATATATTCACATATTTAGCGATCAAATCTTTGC